GGGACGCTGTTTACCTTGGCTGCCCGCGTGGCAGTTTTACAGATATTAAATACCGACCCGGGGGTGAGCGGGGCTCCTCGCTACGTGCGCTCGCCGGGGGCCGGCCGGGCATCCCAACCCGGACGCCCACGCCACGGGGTCAGTAGTGCCCCTACCCCGCGCTCTATGCAGATGGCTTTCAGCATTTGGTGCTGGGGGGACGCCCAGGGCAATCCCTTCCCAGCCTGTTCGTCTCCTTATTCCATTTTCTGCGTAGGGCGGAGCGGCGAGGAGGGGGCCCATAGCTGTATGAGCCGCTCAGTTCTTGGCCTCTGTATCCGGAAAGCGGAGGTCTCCGGCGAAGGCACCTCCTCAGCAGGGCTCCGGTGGCCGCTTCTCAAGTAGTAGAAGCGACCTCTCTCCCCAGAGACCCCTGTGGGACCGAGGAGCATTCTGCCCGAGCCCCAGTCTTCAGCCGGCAGGCAGAAGGCTCCCTGCAGAGGCACAAGCCATGTTGATTTTACGGAGAAGGCTGCTATGCACATTTCACTGCTGATTTATTGTTTCTTAACTAGATCCTTATGCTGGGCTAAAAAAGCCATCTTGCACTTTGCAAGGCTCTGCTGACTGCTGCCTAAAATGACACACGGGGCTCCTCCTGCCCTTTCCCCCACCTCGTCCCACCTACCGAAAGGGCGAAGGAAAGGCGTGAGCAGGGAGCCCTCTTCTGAGGAAGGAGCCTCAGCCTGCAGCTTCCCAACCACTGACCACCTGCGGTGTGCCCTGGGGTGAGTGTGTTTGTGTCTTGTAAGAATTTATGGACCCGAAGGGAGGGGCTGGGCGAGGGTCAGGGCCCACGCTGAGACTGTGCGCTGCCCACCTTTTCTCCCTCTGCCCCCGCAGAGCTCTGGTCAAATGTTTTAATGAACTTTGAGGTCCGACAAATGTAGATTGACATCCTGGTTATCGTCTTGGCTGTGTGATTTGGGAAAGCTACATAAACTCTCTGATCCCTGATTTGTCATCATTGGAATGAGTGTAAGTTTGGCCTATGAAGTAGGAATGACATGAAATATTGTTTATGCCTTATTAGCACAAGGCCCAGCATGTAGACAGCTGATTAGATTCCCTCCACATTCTTCCTCCCAACCCTGGCTGTTCACTTCTGATAAAGAGAACTCCTTAACCAGAGGTGTGTGAAATCATACTGTCTCCAGGACTGACGTACTACGTTTCATAATCCAAGTGGAAAATCATATCCTAATTTATATCATAGATTTAGAAATTATAAAGCACTTGAACCCATTAGCTTATCAAATCCTCATACAAGTTCTGAGGCAAGCTAAAGAGAAGTAGAAAAGTAATTTTTCCCAGAGGGATTTTTATCACAGAACTGTGGTTCAAAGCCAGGGCTGGCTAGTTTGGGGCTCATTTCTTGATGTTGTAACCGCGTCTCCTATTACTTACCATTGCTCTCCTTCTTACAAAGGATGGCTGTGTGGAAAAGGAAGATCTGAGGTACACACAGTGTACCTTCAGGCATGGGCATCAAGGGGACAGGGACCTGCGTGGATACCCACTTGTAGGAGAGGCCTCTTCTGCCAGTCCTGGAGGAGCAACCAAAGAGCAGGGTGGGCACAGTGAAGACAGGTCTGATTGAGACTCCCAGGACTCAAGGAGCCATAGGGGGACGCTGGCTGCATCTGCAGAATCCATCAGCAGCTTGATGGGTCGCCGTTAAACAAAGATGGGATAAGGTTACACGTGTTTTCCGTGGGAGTCGGCTCCGATTTCAGGCTGATGATTTAGTCAGGTGTAAGCATGAAGTTTCCAATTTAGAGAAATAAATCTCCAGTGATTTTATTATCCCCTGTTTTACCCTGACACCCAACTTCACCCCGGCCCCCTGTCAAAGCCCTCATGATGTGTTTATATAGGGCACTCTATAATTGATTGGCGTGCAATAGAACATGACACAGAAAATGTGGCCTTCCCCACCAGGCCCAACTCTGGGAGCTTCCATATTTCATCATCCCCCAGGCCCAATCAGAGGCCTGTACTGGCTGCGGTCACAAATTCCTGAGATTCTGGGTTGTCTGAGAATAGGATCATGGGGCCAAGCAGGCCAGCTGGGTCCCTCAAGGTGGCCTCAGAGGGTGTCATAGCTGGAGATATGGAGTGAAGAACCCTGGAGAGAGGCATCTGCCCTAGGTTGAGCTGGTTGGACTCATGACCTCAGAGCTCCTGCCTGTGTGAGAGTAGCCAAACTAAAGCATCAGTGGCTCTAAGGCTGGTAATTCTAAAGTTTCAAACTTCTGAGATGGTCAGTTTCAGAAATAATAGGTTATTTCGTGTCTGTGAATCTATGGTCCTAGATTTATGAACCTGCAATAATATTATGTAATATACATAATACTCTGGTATACCATGGTAGTACTTCTCATAAATAGGAATACAAATATAAGTGTGTTTCTACATACTGAGAGCAATAGTAAAAGAAATATCTTCTCCATTATTGTCTTTTTTTTTTTTTTTTTTTTTTGGTATTGGGGATTGAACTTGGGACCTTGTGCTTGTAAGGCTGGTGGTGGCAGAACCACTGTGCTAAATCTCCAGCCCTGCATGATTACACTTTTTTTGGAGAGCTTTTAACATACTCAGGACTACCTGAGGCATGCTATGAAATTCTTTGAATTCTCCCAACAACTTTATGAAGAAAGCTTTATTATCTCCTTTTACATATTATGTCATTGAAGATCAGAGCAGGCTATAATTTGTTAAAGTTTGCATAGTTGATTGCTGCCTGAGACTCTGGAGTCTCAGCATTCTTGCTTACACGGCAGTAAGACAAAGTAGGAAAAGCAGTCACATGTGGAGTGAGAAGCAGTACCACCTCATGGGTTGTTGTCAGGAGTGCATCTGATAAGCTGTCATAGTGTTAGCCTAATTGTCATTGACTCTGCCCTCAGCCCCAGGAGACCTGGAAGGGAAAAGAATCTTCAAACCTGGATGTTGGATGAGTTCAATTCTAATAGCTCTAGAATTCTACAGTTTCTGAGTGTGAAGGAAAAATTTATTGTAGTTCAACCTCTCAACCAGGATCTGGATTCTCCTCTACCTTAGCCCTCGGTGGGTAGAACTTTTTCTCTTTGCAAATCCTGTGACATGAGCTTCTCCCTTACAATTAGTTGAAGTCTGCTTTCCTGTAGCTTTTAGTGATCTCAACTATGTCCCATAGAGCCACAGAGAAAATCTGTTTCCTTTGTTCCATAATTTTGGAGATCTGTCTATTCATTTCTACCCATCCATCCAACTCTTCTTTTTTTTTTTTTTGGACTGGGGATAGAATTTGGGTCCTTGTGCTTTTGAGGCAGGCAGCGGAACCACTGAGGTAAATCCCTGGCCCCATCCAACACTCTTCTACCCTCCTTTTTATCCATCCATCCCTTTATCCATCTATTCTTCTATCATCCATTAATCATATACTTATTCATCTCTCCATCATTCATCTGTTCACTTGCCAGCTATTTATCCATCCATCCATCCATCCAGTGATCCATCTATCCATCCATCTGTTCATCCACCCATCCATTAATATGTCCACTCTTCCCTTATTTTTTCTAGCTCTTTAGCTCCCTGTCTATCCATCCATCCATCCATCCATCCTCTCTTCATCCAGTAGTTCAACCGTTCATCATGGATCCGTGTGTTTAGTCATTAATTCATCCATTTACACACTCATTCACTCACTTATAAATCATTGAAAGACAGCTACTGAAATGGCATTTGTTAGGCACTCTGGGGAGCAACACAAAAATAAATATGTCCTCAACAAACTTTGAAGAGAGAAAGGAACCAGACGCACATCTACAGAGTTTACTCATTCCAAAATGTCATATCTGAGGATGTTCTCAGCAATTTGTCAGTCAGTGTCCAGTGAAGAGCCCAGGCTCTCCATATAATCAGGATCCAGAGGAGAGTGGTGCCAGTGGGAGGTAGGATGCGCAAGGTAAAAATGAATATCTTATCTTTGGGCACAGAAGGGAGGCTTTTGTTTGTGGAGTATAAAACTAAGAGCTGAATGGAGGTGGTCCTAATCTGGGAGTCCAGACACTGTTCTCAAATCATAGCCTCTGGCTTATTATGGAAACTGGGAAATTCTCTTCACTCTTAAAATTTATTTCCCTCATTGTAAATTAGGGAGACTTTGCTTGGTTTAAATTGATATGAAAAGGTGAGGATTTTAGTAAGAAGGGATCAGGTCAGCTGTCAGATACAATGTCCAGCAAAACAATTTTCCTACTGTGGAAGTACATTTTGCTTTCTAGAAACTTGGTAGCCAAATGCGAAGGTTTGTCCTGGGTCCAGAGGAATCTAGGCCTTGAAAAATTGATTGTACTTGTGATAGTGTACATCCAAAGATGATTCACAGTGAGCCATGCTTTGTAAAGTCCCCACTCACACTTAATCTAGGCTGGCCCTGTGCTGTGCTACAACCTTGGGGAGGCATTTTATTGCTGTGAAACAAATGGCTACAGAGTTAAAGGCTACAAGTAGTAGCCATTTATTAGCTCACAGTTCTCTTAAATCCAGACCTGGTGTGGCTGGGTTCTCTGCTCAGAGGGTTACCAAGCTGAAATCTATGTGTTGGCTGGGGCTGCCATCTCATCTGAAGCTCATAGTCCTTGAATGGGTCCCCTTCAAGTTGTTGGTGGAATTCAGTCCTTTGTGGCTATAGAACAGCATGTGTTAGGCGCTACTGAAAGTGTACACAGTAATTCATTCAATGCACATGGTAGCACTAGGAAGTAGGTACTGTTTATTATTGCCCCATTTTATAGATGATGAAATGGAGGCCCAGGGAAGTTAAATAACTTGCCTAAAGTTGTGCAGCCTCGGCGATGGAGTTGATCTCTTCCCTGGACACAGTGACTTGATTTTGAGATTCTAGACTTTCATGCTTCTAGAAGTTTAAGATTCAACAACTTTTAAGATTCTGATAGCCTAAGAATTTATTAGTTTGAGGATCCTTGAATTCTTAGATCCCAAGATTCTAGAATTATCAGGTTCCAGTTTGAAAAACCAAATGCCTGCCATCTGTGGGGGTGGAGGGCCAGGGGACGCCAGGGGGAGTGACACGGCCTGAACCCTTAGCTGGGTTCTGTCCTCTTTTCCAGGAGTTGAAGAGGCTGCTGCTGCCCCTTTAGGCATTTAGTTCATTTCTCTGAAACCTGAAACCTTCTTGGAGCTTGGAGCCCTGGGTGGTAGAGAGCAGGAGGGAGACTTCCTTGCCTGATAAAGCCTGCAGCATCTGCGGAAAGGGGCCAGAATAAGCACGGAGACCAGGACGTGGAGTTCCCTGAAAATGATAACATTCCCTGCATCCCGCAGACCCCAAATAAACCCACACTGTCCTCGGCCAGGCACTGCTGAGGCCTGAGGAGGGAGAAGAGGATGGTGGGAAAGGGCTGATGTGTCCATAGGACTGGACACCCTGGGTGTTGTTTCTGTTGGAGTGGGGGCCACATGCTGCTGGCCCTAGAATAACTATGTGCGGAAGGACCCAGGGAGGCTGTCCAAAGCCTGGAGATAGGGCTGCCTGGCAGTACTGTGTGGGCAGACATAAAGAGCCAGGTCATGGTTGACATGTGGAAGCATTTAGGGGCCTGGGAGCCTGAGTACCACAGAATGAAACATCTTGGAGAGCTGGGGCCCAGGGGTTACTGACTTGAGCAGCCTCATTCTACAGATGGTGAAACTGAGGGAAGAGAGCTGCTGCCATGGTACA